AACTCAAAGAAGGGAAACACACAAACTCTATGACTAAAAAGGTGACCAGAGTTAGCAACCACTGGTCATTAATATCACTTAATGTCAATGGATTCAACACACCAATAAAAAGGCACAGGCTGAGAGATTGGATAAGAAAACAGGATCCAACATTCTGCTGTTTACAAGAAACACACCTCAACCACAAAGACAGGCACCTACTCAGAGTAAAGGGATGGGAAAAGGCTTATCAAGCAAATGGACCTAAGAAACAAGCAGGTATGGCCATACAAATCTCTAACAAAGTAGACTTCAAACTTAAATCAATCAGAAGAGATGGAAAGGGGCATTTTATCCAACAGGAACAGTTCATCAGGATGAAGTCTCAATCTTGAACATCTATGCCCCTAATATAAAAGCACCCACGACATAAAAGAAACATTGCTAAAACTCAAGGCAGCCAACAAACCGCACACACTAATAGTAGGAGACTTCAACACTCCTCTCTCGCCAATGGACAGGTCAATCAGACAGAAACCTAACAGAGAAATTAGAGAATTAATGGAGGTAATGAAGCAAATGGACTTAACAGACATCTATAGAACATTCCACCCAAATAGGGAAGAATATACCTTCTTCTCTGCAGCTCAAGGAACCTTCTCGAAAATTGACCACATAATCGGGAACAAAGCAAACATTCACAGTTACAAAAAAAATTTAGTAACCACCTGTGTCTTATCAGATCACCGTGGATTAAAGTTAGAATTCTACAATGCTACCACCAGAAAGCCCACAGATTCATGGAAACTGAACAGTCAACTACTGAACCATACCTGGATTAAGGAAGAAATAAAGAAAGAAGTTAAAGTCTTCCTGGAATTCAATGAAAATAAAGAAACAACATACTCAAACTTAGGAGACACTATGAAAGCAGTCCTAAGAGGAAAGTTCATAGCACTAAGTGCCCACTTAATGAAAATAGAGACAGCACACATTGGAGACTTAACAGTCCACCTGAAAGCTCTAGAAAAAAAAGAAGCAGACTCACCTAGGACGAGTAGAAGACTGGAAATAATCCAACTGAGGGCTGAAATCAACAAAATAGAAACACAGAAAACAATACAAAGAATCAATGAAACAAAAAGCTGGTTCCTGGAGAAAATCAACAAGAATGATAAACCCCTATCCAAACTAATCAAACGGCAGAGAGAGAATTTGCAAATTAATAAGATCAGAAATGAAAAGGGGGACATAACCACAGACACAGAGGAAATTCAGAGAATCATTAGATCTTACTACAAAATCCTGTATGCCACAAAACTGGAAAATGTAAAAGAACTGGACACTTTTTTAGATAAATACCATATACCAAAGTTAAACCAGGACCAGGTGAACAATCTAAATAGACCTGTTAGTCGCGAAGAATTAGAAGTAGTTATCAAAAACCTCCCTAACAAAAAAAGCCTAGGACCACATGGTTTCAATGTGGAATTCTACCAGAACTTCCAAGAAGACCTAATACCTATACTCCTTAATGTATTTCACAATATAGAAACAGAAGAGTCATTGCGAAATTCCTTTTATGAAGCTATAGTCACTCTGATACCAAAACCACAAAAAGACTCAACCAAGAAAGAGAATTACAGGCCAATCTCACTCATGAACATCGACACAAAAATCCTCAACAAAATACTGGCAAACCGAATCCAAGAACACATTAGAAAAATTATCTATTATGATCAAGTAGGCTTCATCCCAGAGATGCAGGGCTGGTTCAACATACGAAAATCTATCAATGTAATCCATCATATAAATAAACTGAAAGAAAAAAACCATATGATCATTTCATTCGATGCTGAAAAAGCATTTGACAAAATTCAACATTACTTGATGATAAAAGTCTTCGAGAGATTAGGGATACAAGGGCCATACCTAAATATAATTAAAGCTATTTATAGCAAGCCGACAGCTAACATTAAATTAAACGGAGAGAAACTCAAAGCCATCCCACTAAAATCAGGAACACGACAAGGCTGTCCATTCTCTCCTTCTCTCCATACCTCTTCGATATAGTGCTTGAAGTTTTAGCAATAGCAATAAGACATCATAAGGGGATCAAGGGGATTCGAATTGGAAAGGAAGAAGTTAAACTTTGGTTATTTGCAGAGGATATGATAGGGTACATAAGCGACCACAAAAACTCCACCAAAGAACTCCTACAGCTGGTAAACACCTTTAGTAATGTGGCAGGATACAAGATCAACTCCAAAAAATCAGTCGCCCTCTTATACACAAAGGATATGGAAGCAGACAGGGAAATCAGAGAATCATCACCTTTCATGATAGCCACAAATAGCATAAAATATCTTGCGGTAACTCTTTCCAAGGAAGTGAAAGATCTATTTGACAAGAACTTTAAGGCACTGAAGAAAGAAATTGAAGAGGATACCAGAAAATGGAAGGATCTCCCTTGCTCTTGGATTGGGAGGATCAACATAGTAAAAATGGCAATTCTACCAAAGGCAATTTATAGATTCAATGCAATCCCCATCAAGGTCCCATCAAAATTCTTCACAGATCTTGAGAGGACAATAATCAACTTTATATGGAAAAACAAAAAACCCAGGATAGCCAAAACAATCCTATACAATAAAGAAACTTCTGGGGGCATTACAATCCCTGACTTCAAACTCTATTACAGAGCTACAGTGATGAAAACAGTGTGGTACTGGCATAAAAACAGAGAAGTTGACCAATGGAATCATATAGAAGACCCAGTTTTTAGCCCACAAACCTATGAACACTTCATTTTTGATAAAGGAGCTAAAAGTATACAATGGAAGAAAGAAAGCATCTTCAACAAATGGTGCTGGCACAACTGGATGTCAACCTGTAGAAGAATGAAAATTGACCCATGTCTATCACCATGCACAAAACTCAAGTCCAAATGGATTAAAGACCTCAATATCAATCTGAACACACTGAACCTAATAGAAGAGAAATTGGGAAGTACCCTACAACAGATGGGCACAGGAGATCGCTTCTTATGTATAACCCCAGCAGCACAGACATTAAGGGCAACATTAAATAAATGGGACCTACTAGAACTGAGAAGCTTCTGTAAAGCAAAGGACACTGTCACTAATACAAAAAGGCAACCTACTGACTGGGAGAAGATCTTCACCAACCCCGCAACAGACAAAGGTCTGATCTCCAAAATATATAAAGAACTCAAGAAACTAGACTGTAAAATGCTAATTAACCCAATAAAAAATGGGGGCACTGAACTGAACAGCGAATTTTCAAAAGAAGAAGTTCAAATGGCCAAAATATACTTAAGGTCATGGTCAACCTCCTTAGCAATCAGGGAAATGCAAATCAAAACAACTTTGAGATATCATCTTACACCTGCCATAATGGCTAAAATCAAAAACACCAATGATAGCCTTTGCTGGAGACGTTGTGGAGGAAGGGATACACTCATCCATTGCTGGTAGGAATGCAAACTTGTGCAACCACTTTGGAAAGCAGTGTTTTGGTTTCTCAGGAAATTGGGGATCAACCTGCCCCTGGACCCAGCAATACCACTCTTGGGAATATACCCAAGAGATGCCCTATCATATGACAAAAGCATTTGTCCAACTATGTTCATAGCAGCATTATTTGTAATATACAGAACCTGGAAACAACCTAGATGTCCTTCAATGGAAGAATGGATGAAGAAAGTGTGGAATATATACATATTACAGTACTACTCTGCCATAAAAAACAATGACATCTTGAATTTTGCATGCAAATGGATGGAAAGAGAAAACACTTAACTGAGTGAGGTAACCCAGACCCAAAAAGATGAACATGGGATGTACTCACTCATAATTGGTTTCTAGCCATAAATAAAGGTCACTGCATCTTTAATTTGTGATCCTAAAGAAGCTAAATAAGAAGGTGAACCCAAAGAAAACATAGTTTTTATCCCTGCTATGGAAATAGACAAGATTGCTGGGCAAAAAAAATGGGATCTTGGGGGTGGGATGGGATGGGGGTAAGGGGAGAAGAGGAGAGAAAAGTGAGAAGGGGATGATGGTGGGACCTTGGGGAAATGGGATGATTGGGGATAAAACAAGGTTGGATAGCGGAGCAGGGAATCACATAACTTAAATAAGAGAACCACCTTAGGGTTGGTAGGCGACTTGAACCTAATGTGGCTCCCAGGTGCCCAGGGCAATGTCCCCAGTTAGTTCTTTGGGCAGCTGAGGATAGGGAACCTGAAATGACCCTATCCTATAGCCATACTGATGATTATCTTGCATATCACCATAGAACCTTCATCTAGCAATGGATGGAGATAGAGACAGAGACCCACACTGGAGCATCGGACTAAGCTTCCAAAGTCCCAGTGAGGAGCAGAAGGAGGGAGAACATGACCAAGGAAGTCAGGACCACGAGAGGTGCACCCACCCACTGAGACAGTGGGGCTAATCTATTGGGAGCTCACCAAGGCCAGCTGGACTATGACTGAAAAAGCATGGGATAGAACCGGACTCTCTTAACATGGCAGACAATGAGGGCTGATGAGAAGCCAAGGACAATGGCATGGAGTTTTTTTCCTACTTCATGTTCTGGCTTTGTGGGAGCCTAGCCAGTTTGGATGTTCACCTTCCTAGACCTGGAAGGACCTTGGACTTACCACAGGGCAGGGAACCCCGACTGCTCTTAGGACTGGAGAGGGAGGGGGAGAGGAGTGGTAGGAGGGGGAGAGGGGCGGGAGGTGGGGGAGGGAAATGGGAGGCTGGGAGGAGGCAGAAATTTTTTTCAATAAAAAAACTATGTGTGTGTGTGTGTGTGTGTGTATCTTGTATGAGTTCTTTCATATTCTTGGAGATTATTATAATGTGTAAAAGTTTTAGAATATTATTGACTTCCTAAGGGTTTGCATCAGTATGAGTTGTCCCCCCCCAGTAGAAGACTATGTAACATCTAAAGTCTTTAACACATTGTTTGCATTCATAAGGTATTAAAATTCAGTGTAAATTTTTTGTGTAACTGAAGTGTTTTTCGATAAAAGCTTTCCCACACTGTTTACATTCATAGGGCTTCTCTTTAGCTTGAGTTCTTTCACATCTTTGAAGGTGACTTCTATATCTAAAGGCTCTCCCACATTGTTTACATTGATAGGGTTTTTTTCCAGTATGAATCCTTTCATGATTTGTAACTTTACTATGCCACAGAAAGGTTTTACTGCACTGTTCACATTTATAAACTGTTTTTTCTTCAATGTGTTTTTTGTTGTAACTGACTGAAGTGAAGTATGACACCTAAAGTTTTTACCACATTTACAGACATACAATTTTTCTTCAGAATGAATGCTTTTATGTTTTTCAGATGAAAGTGCTGTATGAAAGCTTTATTACATTGTCTATATGCATAGTGTTTTCCCCTATATGCATTATTTTCTGTAGTAGAAAAGAAGAATGATATGTGAAGGCTTTACCACACTTACATTCATAAAGCTTTTCTCCAGTATGAATTTTTTCATGTAACTGAAGGGAAGTGATTTGTTCAAAGGCCTTACCACTCTGTTTACACTCATAGAAGTTCTCTCCTCTATGAGTTGTGACACCTAAATATGCCACACTGTTTACATTCATGGGGCTTTTCTCCAGTATGAATTTCATATAATCTAAGATAACTGTGATATCTAAAGGCTTTGCCATATTGATTGAATTCATACAGTCTTTCTCTAGTATGAATTATGTTATGTAATCAAAGGGTGAAGAGGAACACACAAGAATAAGGGGAACGTGAATTAAATAATCCAACACTAGCTCTGAAAAGAGTATAATGATGTGTTCTTCATTAAAGGGGAACTGAGGGATCACAAGAAGGAACAGGAACAGAATCCAATATCCAGGTGTGGCTATCAGGAAGAAAGAGAATAAGACTGTGAACCTGTATGCCTTTTGGTACCCAAGGTTATGCCCAACCTGGTCCAGCCTCTCAAAGGCCATTGGTTGAAGGAGGTTACAAATCACCTCTCCTTTTGTCTAAATAATACAGTTCCAAGCCCAATAAAAAACTATATAAAATAAGAACAGACATCAAATATAAAAATTAGAATTACAACCAGCATAAACAATATTAAGCAAGAAATATATGCTAAATGTTTTAATAGTTATTCTATCATAAGGAGTCTAAGTTTGTATTAGAAATGGATTGGCTAAGTCATAAGAGGAAAGTAACTATGACTATCTAGTTTTCAACCCCATTGAAGGCCTTAGAAGAGAGATAATATTACTTGAGTAGGCAGGAAGTGCAATCAAGCAGCTTACAAAATATTTAGTAGATGACAGAGATAACTGGTTACTTGGTCAATCACCCAAAATCTCATTTACAACATAGGAATAATCAATATTGGCTAAGATCTAGAGTAAATGACAGACCATTTTCAGAAGCAGGAAAAATTTCAAAACCATCTTACTCTGTCTTGGCAAGATTTTGCAGTCTTTTTTTCTTGTATCCTGCTTGTCCAGTCCAGACATTGTGCATTTTCAGTGGTCAAGGCATGGGCAATTCTTTGCCCAAAGACATTCATTGTATGCAGGATCCATTCATCCATTGGTGCTGATCTGCCCTTTAAAGGTCCAAGTATCTTTTAGCATTCTGTTGGCATATTCAAAAGCCAGAAATTCAATAAGTACTCATCTAGCTTCAGTGTCTGTTACTCCTACTTGTACAGCCTTAGTTAATCTTTGTAAAAAGTTACTAAAGAGTTCTCTATGGCCCTGTTTAACTTTGCCATATGATTCAATCTTTTTATGGTTCTCTAATCCTGTCTCAAGCATTTAATAGTGCTGTGTGGCATAGTGACAAAGTGTGTTAATCATTGAGAGCCTTGTCCTATATGTATGAGTAATAGCCCTCCCAAAGAATTTGATCTTGGGCAGTTTCAAATCCTTTTACTTTTCCCTGTTGTTCTGAAATTTTTGCCTCTTCTAGCTAGTAGCACTTCCATAGCAGTTGTGGTCCATATTTAAGGACTTGTGAAACTAATTGAAGCCAGTTGTGTGGAATGGCCTTATTCCTTGAAGTCTATGCTTTCACCATTTCCCCAACAAATGGTAAATGCAAACCATAAGATACTATAGCTTGTTTAATTTCTTTTAGATAGCTCAAACCTAATGGTTTGCATTTACATTTTTGAATACTTTAGGGTATTTAGTACCAGATGATTTCTCAGAGAATATTACCAGATAAGAAGCTAAAATTCTGGGCAAGACATCCTTAACTCTGTCATATATTGGTGAGGCTAAAACCTGTTCTAGTATATTTTCTCCCTGCTCATCAGTTCTGATAATTTCCTCAATTGTTCCAAATATTTTTACCACTGCTTTTTGTAAAGTCTGGATTTCCTATACTGTTCTAGTGCCCTCGTTGATTTATTTAGTTTCTGTTCCTTATTCACCACATATGATTCCAAGGCATGAAATCTGTCCAGGAAAGATAACCTCTCATCCTTGGTCGCTATTTAGATGGTGTCCATATTGCCTTCCTGGAGAGATACCCTATCCATTAACCTATCATAACTTTTTAACAGATTCTGATTGTTAAATTCAATAGTATGAATTCTTTCAGGTAATTTCCCAGCATCCTTTGAAAGGGATTGAATTTTGTCTGTCAAATTAATGTTATTCTTTTCAATGGTATTAATTTTTCAGCTAGCTTTTCATTGGTAGTCTGTAAAACCTGTACCATTTTTAAAAGTGCCTCATTCTAGGCTCTGTTATCAAACCATTTTCTTAAGGATATAATATGAAAGACAAAGCTAATTCCCTAAATCAAGTAAATGGATATATAAAGAAAATTACATAAGCCTTGAGGAATACCACACAAAGTGTAAGCAAAATTGTTATTAAATTCCTGAATGGTAACATTCTTAGCAACCAAATAACTTTCAAATTTATCATTTCACTTACCTTCTTTGGGCAATTTCAGTGAGTTAGTGTAGCTGTAATAATGTTTATTGATCAATAGGTGTCATGGTTGCAGCTGTGTGGTAGAGAGATGCAGCAGAGAGAATCACATGGTGTCAAACAGTCCCACTCTGGTTCCGTGCACTTACATAGATACTGACACTCTTTAGGATCAGTTCTGCCTTCACACCGCCAGGCTCCCCACCATGAGGGTAATGGACTGAACCTCTGAAACTACAACAAACAACATGATGATGAGGATAATGTTAGCAATAACAATAACAGTGATTCTTACCTCATTCCATCAGCCAGCTTCAAGATGGATGAAGCCCTAAACACACATGGTTTTTAGTATGTCAACTGCCCAATGATTAAATACCTTGATAACAGCAGTATATCCTTAAAGGGCATCAGGGATACATGGATGACCTGGGAAACCAGGAATAATGGATAGACAGCATATGCCACTTTTATTAATAAAATAGCAGTAGATAAAACTACCTGGAGATGGAGTGCCCTGGTAACAGGAGATAGTGATTAATGCATAGACAAGAACTGGATCATATAAGAATAGAAAGTGTATGTTCTTTTTTATTATTTAAAACATGTGAGGCAATATGGTACCTTGGAATAATCTGAAATTTTTGATCAGAGGTCAAGAGCAACACTGAAAATTACCGTTTAGTAGTTGATTACCCTTTTAATTTTTTAAAATTAAATTTATGTGCATGGGTCTTTCACATACATGTGTAGTAGTCATGTACATTTCTAGATCCTGTGGATGCAAGAAGATGGCATTGGATCCCATGGAATTTGAGGTACATATGGTTGTAAGCTGCCATTTGGGTGCTGGGAATCAACCTCAGTTAATTAAAAATTAGCCAGTGCCCTTCACAGCTGAGCAAGAAGACCAAATATTAGAATTGTGAGGGAATAATATGTAGTAATTAGGAGCGGCAGGGCTGCGTCCCCGGCACCCTGGCCGCCTGGCTAGCTTATGCCCTGAAATAACAACACACAAATTGTATTCTTTTAAACACTGCTTGGCCCATTATATCTAGCCTCTTCTCGGCTAACTCTCGCACCTGGACTAGCCCATTTCTAATAATCTGTGTAGCCCACGAGGTGGCTTACCAGGGAGATTCTAGCCTACATCCATCCTGGGTCAGAGCTTCATTGCGTGTGCCTCAGAGACTAGAGCTCTCGCGTCCGCCCGGGAGAGGGGAGCATGGAATCTCTCTGAGCTCACTTTCTTTTCCTCCCAGAATTCTGTTCTGTTTACTCCACCCACCTATGTTTTAACCTATGAGAGCCAAGCAGTTTCTTTATTATAATTAACCAATGACCTTCCTCCATCAATTATAAAGTTCATAAATAACAGAATAGGGAAGATTTAAATATCTACCTTCTCCTAGTTTGATTTTCCATAGCTTTGACAAACATAATGACCCAAACAAGCATGGGGACGAGAGGGATTATTGAAATTCAAACCTTCTAGTTTCTGATTGAGCTTCTGCCCTGCCCTCCCTCAATGATGATCATTAGTGTATAAACTTAAATTAAACAAAGAGGCATCCTAGAAAGAAAAACCTAAAAAACTATGGAATAAATGTTCAAGGATGCACCGGGCGATGGTGGCGCATGCCTTTAATCCCAGCACTTGGGAAGCAGAGGCAGGCGGATCTCTGTGAGTTTGAGACCAGCCTGGTCTACATAGCTAGTTCCAGGAAAGGCTCCAAAGCCACAAAGAAACCCTGTCTCGAAAAACCAAAAAAAAAAAAGGTTCAAGGATGCATAGAAGGTTTGACTTTGAAAGATTAAAAACAGGACATTTGGTTGGCTATTCAGTGTTACATGTGGAAGAAAATTGTGAAATTTTGTGGGATTAAGTTTGTGATTGTGAAGTCCCTGACTGGGTGTTTTATATGAATGTTGCTTGGAGTTTCCAACAGTCTTTCTACAACTTCATTTCTGTTTTTTAAAAAAGAAGGAAAGTATACCAATAAAGTTATAAATTCCCTATCAGCAGAATTCCTGAGAATTTCTGAATATGACTGAAGATTCTACAGAATGTAGAGACAGGTAATATCAAGACACTGTATTTATATAGGGTTTCTTTTTGTGTTAACATTTATTTACTATTTGTATGTGCACATGCTATGGGGTGCATAAGAAAGTCAGAGGACAGCTTGTAAGAGTTGCTTCTCTTTTTCTATTATATAGGTGTCAGTGATTGCACTTGGGTCATCAGGCTTGGTAGTGAATACCTTTACCTGATGAGTCATTTTCCTAGCCCAATCATATTATTTGTTTCCTTGCCAGCTCATGGACAAAATGGTTTCCCAACCCTTCTTCTTCATCTTCCTACACTACTGTACAAGGGGGCACAACATGCTTTTGTGTAATGGATAAATTCCTCTGAGATTAGAGCACTCCATCTTTCAGGGAGCTCCTTAAACAGAATGTTGAACAACTCAATAGAGCTTTAGGAAGTCCCTGAAATTGACAAAATTTACTAGGCCCCTCTCTGCTCAAGTAAGTTCTTCTCAGAAGAGGAGAGTCAAGATGCAAAGAAAACTTTTAAAGAAACAAAACTACAAAGAAGACTGAGACTAGACCATTGGCCTGGGAGAAGCAGAAAACAGCTGAACTTCCTGGGAGAGGTTTACACCAACTGAAGCGCTTGGAAATGATACTCCCCAACCTGTTGATCCACCTATACAGGTTGTTCAGTGTGCCTCAGG